CGAGGGGGAACCGGGAAGCCGCGGGAACACAACCCCTGGGAGGAAGAAAGGGAGACCACGTGTTCCTCTTTTGGGGTCACTTAAATACCCTGGGGAGTGGTCCTGAACCCACCCCCAGGGAGGGGTCAGGACCTGGCCTGCTGGGATTTAAAGTCCAGACCAGGCCTGGGGGCTGGGATAGATGCGAGGGGCAGGGACTTACGCTCCCAACTTGACAGTTACTAGAAATGGGGTAGGACAGGATTGTCTAAACTAGGAAGTCCATGAGACTTTTGCACTAGCCACTGGCCAGGAGCTTCAAGTGAGACTTTTCACAAGCAACCCTACATAGATGACTTCAATATGCCCAAATGCCAGTCAAGACCTCTAAACCCACTCTACATCATTTTGCATTTGTATCACCAAGTATGGTAGCCACAAGTCACATGGAGCTACCGAGCTCTTGAAACGATTACCTGCGAGATGGAGAAATTAAATCTTAAACATCATTTAGTCTGTGTTTAGCTGAACTTTGATTTTAAACCTGAAGTGCTGTAAAATGAACGAGAACACTTTGTTCGTATTGAAAAGGGAGAGATGATTTTCAATACCCCTCTAAACATGATGTTAATAGCACTGGACACGAGCATCAGTGAATTTATTGAACTTGGAAGGGGTATGACTTTGAAACAAATATGGTACCGTGCTTTCTTTCGGGCCACCAATCATGGCATGGAGACCTTTTGTTCTCGGCCTTATCTTAGCTCTTATTTCTTGCTAGCTCTTAGAACTTAAATTATCTTCTTTCTCTTCATCTACACTGTGCCCCAGGGCTTTTTAACCTTTTCTTTCTCTCTAACTTACTTTTCCTTCTTCCACGTCTGACTAACCCAGCCCCATGTCTCTTTCTCTTTCTCCCTTGTTTTCTTCTCCTCCTCTCATTCTTCTTGAGCCTGGATTTCTCCTCTCATTTATTCTCTCTGCCAGCCCCACCTACCCATCTCCCACCTAGTTATTGGCCATTCAGTTTTTTTATTAGACCAGATAGGTGCCTTAGGCAGGCAAGATGAAATAGCAATACATCTTTTTATAATTAAACAAATGTAACACACTTTTACATAGTTAAATATTCCACAACAGGAGAGTCCTTTGCTTCAAAGTCTGCTTTGAACTCTGCTAAAATAGGCAAAATAGTTATGGAAATTTTTATTTTTAAAGATTGATTTTTATTGTCAGTGTAGGTGTATGTATTCCCACGTAGATAAGTGCATGTGAGATCAGGTGCCCCAAGAGAGCTGGAGCTGCCGATAATTGTGAACTGCCTGACACAGGTGCTGCAAACTGCGCCCGGGTCCTCTGGAAGAGCAGCAGGTGCTCTTCACTGCTGAGCCCTCTCTCCAGCCCCCATTTATGTCAATATAGATGTGAAGATAGAAGAGAAAACAAATTTAGGATTCCGAGTTAAGCTTTGAAATATTCCTGGAACAGCTTGAATATGTACATTTTTTCCAAGTAAAAGTTTTATGTAATCTAAATATACACAGATCAAGTAATTCTGGGTAGGATTCAGTACCCAAACTGAGATAGGCTGGAAGTGTGATATGCAAGCCAGATTTGAAGACTTCGTTCCAAGAAAATAATGCAAAATACCCCACTGGGGTGTACTGTTTGAAATTCCCAAATAATTAATAAAAATACTAAGTTGGAAAAAATTAAAAGGAATTAGATTAAAAACAAATATTGATTACATCTTAAATGATAGGAGTTTAAATAGGTGGTGATCATTCAAATGTGGCTAAAATTAATTTCACCTGCTTATTCACCCCAACTATTAGCGAATTTAAAATTATCCATGCGGCTTGCATATTGTTTCTGTTGGATCACGCTAGAGTAAAGGCGGGCCTGCATTCTGCACATACCGTATTGCTGGTACCTAACACGTGTGGGCATGCAAAGGGTGTAAACATTTGTAGATCTTTAAGGAGGGAGATAATTTAATCTGGGAGGGAGGAATTACCATATGGCACAATGGTTGCTCAGGTGAGCTGCTAACCCTCATTTCCCCAAACTCTGCAAATCTACAACAATGTTCCCCCAGGACAACTCTGTAAATCTACAACAAAGTTCCCCCAGGACAACTTAGTACTCTCATGTTTACTTTGTCTTCTCTGGGTCACCAGAAGCGAAAGGACAGGGAGCTCGATTCACTACTAGGCTATGAATCTCCTGCCCCCTGTTTCGTTTTCTTCTCAAAGCACCCAAAGCACAACTAAGTACCTAAGTTTGCAACCTCTTGTTTTTACTATCTCAGGTCTGCAAAGTGAACTGGCTGTTCAGCTTCAGATTGTGAGTTTCATCTTCATATTTTTTTTCTTGTTTGGGGTGTTAATGAGAACTTTAGCTGCAGCAAAACACACACACACACACACACACACACACACACACACACTCACCTTGACAAAACAAGTTAATAGTTTGCTACCCATTCTTCTTGCAAAGCAGGCTCTCCTAATAGGAAGCATGACTTTTGTGTTGGATGGAGAATTATGCAAAGAGCCCGACTCCCCATGGTGTGAATTACCTTCCCCTCATAGGAAGAGGAGAAAAGAATGTTTCCTTTGGAGCATGATAGGGAAAATTGCATTTTCTGTTGACTGCACAGATCTGTCTATGCTGGGATCCTGCTCAACCTTTTGTTCAAAATAACCAGCCTATATGATCTAATTAAGTCAGTGCCTCCGGCTTTGAAAAGAGCTTGCCTTACTGCTTTGCTCCTCCAGCAGGTTGATCTCTGGACCTGCTTGTTCAATGGCAAACCCACAGTCGGAGTGACCCCTTCCCTAATTCCTGTGCTGGGGTACCTCGTTGTACATCCTAGCTAGCCTTTCATGCATCCCTTGAGGTCAGATGACTATGTGGGAAACATGAACCATGGAGTAGTTCTATCTGATAGTTATAGGGCTGTCAGACAAGTTTTAAAATATTTATTTTAATCAAAAATATGTGTGTGTGTGTATGTCAATGTGTGAAGGTGCCCTTGGAGGCTCGAGGCATTGGCTTTCATGGAGATAGAGTTAGAGCTACCTGATATGGAGTCGAACAAGAGTCCTCTGGAGGCTCTCCAGCCCCCACTCTCAGATAGTTTTTTTGTTAGGACACTGTCTTGTATGTGTGCAGTGGTGGTGCACACCTTTAGTCCCAGCACTCAGGAGACAGAGGTAGGTGGATCTGAGTTTGAGGCCAGCCTGGTCTATAGAGTTGAGTTTCAGGATAGCAAGAACTGTTACATAGAGAAACCCTGTCTTGAACCACATCCACCCCACCCCCTGCATCCGCCAAGACTATCTTGTGCAAACTGGGTGTGATGATATGTGTTTATAATCCCACTGCTTGGCAGGTGGAGGGAGGCAGGAGTTCAAGGTCATTCTCAGCTACACAGCAAGCTTGATGTCAGTCTGAGAAACCTGAGACCCTGAATCAAAAACCCAAACCAAATCAAACCAACAGCAGCAGCAACAATAAAAAGAATACTGGCGAGGCGGTGCATGCCTTTAATCACAGCACTCTGAAGACAGAGGGAGGCAAGTGGCTCTCTCTGAGTTCTAGGCCAGTCTGGTCCGTATAGTGAGTTCTAGGCTAGCCAGGGATACTTAGCGAGACCCTGTTTAAAAAAAAGAAGAGAAAAGAACAAAACTTCTATTATATGTAGGGTATACTTATGCTACATTTTTGTGTCCAGTGGCAACCTTTGATGAGAACCTATATTTGCCCCCAAAGAGGCAATCTATTGGGCTAGCAAGATAGCTGAGCAGGTAAAGGTACTTGCCACCAAGCCCGATGACCTGAGTTTGATCCCCAAGATCAACATGGCAGAAGTAGAGGCCCAACTTCAGGAAGTTGTCCTCTGACCTCCGCCTCCACCACACATGCTCCTCCCAACAAACAAACAAACAAACAGTGTACCGAAATAAAAACAGGCAAGATGACCCAAGGGTGTATTGAATGTGGACAGGAGATTTAAACAAAGGCCAGTGTGATACTGGATGACACTTACTGAATCCTGCTGTTGGAAAGCAACTGAAACCACACCTGGATTTCTATTTTCACGCCTGATGACAAATGAATCCAGGGAAGGGGCCCCTGCAAACTGCAAAGTGTTTCTTCCTTGCTTTGCTGACTCTTTTACATGCACATCTAAATTCCCCACTGTAGGGAGCTGCGTAGTTCCGCGCCTTAAAGATGGCGTCGGTTTCTGCTTTCCACCTCCCCGAAGGTGGGCGCTCTCTGGCACAAACAACTCCATATAAGGCTAAGGCTAGAGCTCTGGCTTGCTTCCACGTATCTGAACCTATCTGCATTCCCCACGTAGCATGCCAGGGTTGGCTACCCAGAGAGTATTTAAGCTATGGACTGGCTTTCCTTGCGTCTTCCTTGCTGGTTGAGGCGGTTGCGACACTCCATGAAGACTGTCAACCCATGAGGGCAGAAATGATCTTTTTTTTTTTATTGGTATCCCCCAAATCTGTCAAAACATTTGAGCACCGGTCCATGCTCAAAAGCATTACCAGTAACCTTGAAGTGAAATTTAAGGGCAAAGGATGTGGGGTCTCAAAGCCAGAGGATGTTCCGGTAACCTCATGGGAGGTACATGCATGGAAACCCAGAATCCACTGGAGTTGAGTTGCGTGGTGTGTGGAAAGAGAGCTCCACTGTGTGTAGAAGAAATCCACTCAAAGCCCATCACCCACCTTCTCCAGAACAAATGATTGTCACCAGTAGCAGTGGCCTCCCCCACCACCTGTCAGGGAACCACTGCCAATGGGTAATTGTACCATGATGTTTCAAGAGGAAGCCTGACATAAAAAAGGAGTTGGCAGCATCCAGGGGCCAGCAGGGCCTTTTCATACCTGCTAATGAAGCCTCATTAGAAGCAGCAGGAGTCTGTGCTGGGAACTGGAAGCAGCAGTCAGTCAGGGCTCTCCCTGCCAAAAGGTGATTAACTAACTGACTTGTAGCACCTGCTCTCTGAGCACGCAGGGCAGAAGAGTCTGAAGAGTACAGCCCCACACAGCGTGCTTCTGGGAGAGACTCTGAGAGTCGTGCGCATCGACTCTCCTGCCTTCCAGCGGCTGGGCTGGATTCCAGATCCTGCAAAAGAATGCATGCATGGGGTCCCCACCATCTAGGCTTCAGGCTATGTTGAGGTTGGGAACTGAGATCTTGGTTTAGAGGCAGTAATTAGTGATAATAAGACACCTATCACAGTACCTGCGGCATCCACCATAGCTGGGACAGCTGCACGCTCTTCCTGAGCGGCTCTCGTACCCAGGTGGTTCAATTAGTAGTGTGCAGCTCCAGGGGAAGTGGATGCTTGGCTGAAATGGAGCGTAAGTGGCGGCCTGCCTATTTCTGTACTTCAGACAACGAACTGAATTATGTAGAGATACTGTGCAGAGTCCAAGTAGCTGGTCTTCTGGGAGATTCATGAATTCAATTTCTTTGGTCCTGCAGGCTAGCAGGAAAATCCACTGGACACGGCCCCAACAGGGCAGCTTGTTTCTTTTTAAAGGCTAGTGGCTTTTTGTTTGTTGTTTAAATAAAATAAACAATGTTTGTCTTTTTGGAACTTTTCATATGAAGGTCTTCAAATGTTCCTGCACTGGATGGATTCCTCTTTTGGGGTGAGCAGCTCGCGGTGACCAAGGGGACAAAGATTCAGCTTGTATTTCTTGGTCTAATTCAGTGTAGCAGGTAGGTGACGGAAAGAGAAGTGTGTATTTTTGTGGTGGCGTGGTGGTGGTGGTGTGTGGTTTTAGTAGCACTGAGAGCCTGTGGTTGGACCCAGGTGGTGGTTTCAGTTTTAATCTGAAGGCAGGAGAGTCTTGCCTGCGTAGGAAGCAGATGCATGAACTATATTTGGCTGGCTCAAGTCTTGAGGGGGCTGGCATGAGGCTTCTGAGAAGAAAATTTGAGGCTGCAAGTGGGTGAGCAACCACAACCCAATTAGTGTCCCATGGGCTGAAACTGATGGAGAAGCGTCGTGCCATGGGCAAGTGAGATGTGCGTGTTGATAAATATGGTGCTGTTGTTCACGCGGTCTGAATGCCCTGTGACACCTGTAAGTATGGAATGTTCAACGAAACAACAGGCTAATCCCTGTTCCAGCAAAAGTGTGTGTGTGTGTGTGTGTGTGTGTACATTTTTGTGTCAACAGCAGAACTTTTGAGTGAACAGCGCCTGTGTGCTGATAAACCCCAGAAGAATTGACCCTGAGGCAATGGTGAGACAGGTGTTGTCACACAAGGTCCCTTCCAGAAATACCTAAGACTGGCTCCCTGGTATGGTAGAGTAGTGTAGTGACAGAGTATATAATTCGCATGCATGAGGCCCTGGGTTCCATCCGGTGAACCACCACCACCACCACCACCACCACCACACACACACACACACACACACACACACACACACAACCAATGAAAATCCCCAAAGAGCCCCTGAGATATGCAGACAGAACTGTGTTATCTCTGTACTAACAACAGGTTAAACATGAAATGGTAGACTGGGAGTTGCACACAAAGCATTTATTTGGAGAGGCCTAGGTTGTTCAAGCTAGAGACTACTTAAATGAGAGCAGAAGGACCCTCTCTACTCCTAGGAAGCGTTCCCGCTTCATCTGAGTCAACCAGGGAATCCAGCAGGGAAAGAAGTTCCTCAAGCATCGTTACTGGTGGGCTGCTGAAGGTGGTAGCTCTCTTGGCAGAAGGAGGAAATTGTTTTCATGTTTCCCATCAGCTGAAAAGAAACACAGGTGAATCAGAAACAAGAGAGACAGAACACTGGTAAAGATGCCATGGCAGGATTGTGGGAAAGGAAGCTGTGTCATGAGAAAGAATTTGACTTTTGGAGTAAGACGGTGCCAAGGTTCGAATCTCTGTTTTGTAGTTTGACGGACGTTGGGAAAAAGACTTCTGGAACTCTGGGACACGTGTCCTGTTAGTAACTGGGGACGTGTGGCATTCTGGTGGGCACAGGAAGGAATGGAGGCAGCCAAGGGTTAGGGCTCGACTCCTGCCTAATAGCCACTCATCGGGTACTTATGTTCTTGAACTACGTTCCTCCTCCTTCACTCTCCCATGTTCATTTAAAATGGTTTTGCATATTTACTCAGATGTGCATAGGAATCTGAAAGATTTGGTTTTGTTAAGAACATCTGGCTTTCACATTCCACAGAAAGCAAGTGAACAAAAAGACATGAGACAGGATGCTATCCTCTCTGGGAGAGGGCCCAGAAGCCTGTGTTCAGGACCCAGAGTTGCTTCAACCTCCATATGTGACCACTGACAAATCCCTCCCACTTGGGCTTTTCCATTCTCTCTTGAGATGGACTATATGACCTGTAAGTTTGCTTTTGTACTTTTTTTTTTATTAGTATTTGTGAATGCACCCACCCATGTGCCCATAGCCACAGTACATGTACAGAAATCAGAGAACTTTTTCATGGAGTCAGTTCTCTCCTATCTTTATGTAGACTGGGGTTTGAACTCAGAGCTTTAGGGCTGTGAAATGGGTACCTTTACCTGCTGACCCATCTCACCAGCTCCCCTAAGTTGTCTCATAGAGTTACTGTCCTTTTCTTCTTAAAAAAATCTGTCTGTCTGTCTGTCTGTCTATCGATCTGTCTATCTGTCTATCTATCTATCTATCTATCTATCTATCTATCTATCTATCTATCTATCTATCTATCTATCGTACATGGGCAGTTTATGCGCACATATCTGACTGTGCATTATATACATGCCTGGTGCCTATGAAGGCCAGAAGAGAGTGCCAGATCATTTGGACCTGGAGTTATAGATGTTGTGAGCCACCTTGTGGACGCTGGGAATTGAACCCAAGTCCTCTGGAAGAGCATCCAGTGATCTTAACTGCTGAGGCCTCTCTCCAGCCCTTACTGTCCAATTCTTAATTCAATGCGCCATAGAGGAGACCTTGGAGGGAGGTATGAAGATAGAGAAAATGAAGACAAATAAATATTTGGATTTCTGGAAAGAATCTACAACGATGCTAAGCTCTGAGGCTAATGATAAATCTCTGATGTGCAGGCTGATCGATGTGTCTATTGATTAGAAAAGACCTGTATATATGCTCACAATCTCATATGCATATGCTTACATAATTTTGGCAGACATGACTGGCCAACTCCATTGTCATTCCTGTCGGAGGCTGTTGAAATACACAGCATATGGAAACTGATAATTCAGATGTCAACCCACCAGAGAAGTGACTCTCTGATGAAGATTAATCCTGTCCACACAAGGCTTGCAAGACCAATTCTGAAAACTGTGGCTTACTTTTTCTAAAGCAACTTGGTGTCTCCCCAATACCTGCATTGTAGTGTGTAATCTCATGTAATGTGTATCCATAATTGCATGTTCACATCTCAGTCTTATGGTCATGCATATCTGGGGGTGGTCAGGAAGATGACTTTTCATTTAGTTATATAATTTTGATATATAGAATGTATGCTAGGACATGCTTCAGAACTAGAGCTATTGTCCCATGAGGACTGTGGACACTTAAAAGCCTGCTTTGCTCCTTTTGCTCAGACTAACTGCACACAATAAGCTCACTTTCACCTCAGTGCAAATTCAAGCTAGACTAAAGGTTTTCTGTAAATAGATTATAAGTTTAAAGCTTTAATAATAACTATGCCCAAGGTCAGAGTCACAGGTGTCTTACCAAGGTTGCTACATAAAGCACCCTAAGAGAAGCATGCCAGTTCTTCACTTGCCAAGCCTAGTGACAATGGACCTCTGTCTCAAAGCATGTCACTGAGCACTGTGCCTCTACCCGCCCCCCTCAATCTGGTCACAGTCTTACTCCTGAAACCTTGAAACCATTGTGTTGCCATGGTAAATGGCTCAACTCCTTATTTGTTTACCCTAGGAATGTGCTTTTGACTAATGAGAGGCAATTTTTGTAAATTTTTATGATTGTTCCAATCCCCCTGGAAGAAAGAGAAATTAGAAGGACAGGAGAATTAGAATAGCAGCAGAACAATAAAGAGACTGATTCGGAAAAGCACATAATGAGAGAGAGAGAGAGAGAGAGAGAGAGAGAGAGAGAGAGAGACCATTAGCCTTCAGTTATCCTAAGAAAAAAGTTCATTTTGCTTCCTGTAGCTTCCAATCTGTACCCTGAAGAGGGTCTTGGGGGTGGACCTCAATGACTCTTGTTGCATTCCCAACACCTTGCTTGTCTTCTCTATAGAGTCCAAATTAAAAAGCATTTTCTCATCATCCCCTGCAGGCATGCATGGCCAGTCAGATAAAAAAAAGTTAACAAGAAGCCTCCTCAAAATGTTTGAGAGATGGACTAGAGAGACAACTTGGGAGTGAAGAACTCTGGCTGCTCTTCTAGAGGACCTGGGTTCAATCTCCAGCATCCACGTGGCAGTTCACAACTGTTTGACTCTAGTCCCCTTTTCTGATTTCCATGGGCACTGCACATAGGTGTTACATAGACTTGCTTGCAGGCAGGACACCCATACACATAAAATAAATATAAATAAAAATCTCAACTTTTTTTTTTTAAAAAAATTGAGTCACTCAGGAAAAGGGCTTTTTGTTACTCCGTCTTTCCGGTCTTGAATGAAATGTGAGATGTGGGATCATGATGAATAGTTTTATGCAGTGCTGGGGATTGAACCCAGGATTTTGTGCATTTCAATCCAGCTCTGAACCCACCCAGTCCCACCCCATCCTCCACGTGCATTCTTCCTGCAGCTAAGGCAGAACTGAGCCATACCTGCTCTCCTCTCTGTCCAGCAGGGCATTGTAGGACGCCACATCCTCCTGCAGCTGGCTCTTGCATGCCAGCAGGTACGCCCGTTCCTGCTGCTGCTGCTCCGTCTCTGAGCGAATCTCTGCCAACTCTGCCTCCAGCCTGCCCACCACAGCACCCAGATTCTGCAGTTCCATGTCATGCCAATGCTTAGCATCATACAATGTGTTTTCCAGGCCTCGTTTCTACAAAAGAGTGAATAGGGGTCATTGGGCTGGGCCCTCCAGCCAGGGAACGTGTGACGGACTTGCTCAGCCCACTGTCTCTGGGGGCAAGGATGCTGTCAACTCTGGAGAGGAATAGAGATCAGTCTTACTGGCTCTAGGGAAGAATAAGAAAGTGGAGCTCGGCTTCATTGACTTTTTGTGATGGGCAGGAGGGAGCTGAAACGGAGGAGTCTGACCCTTACCTCTCAGCACTTTTCTGTGGTGTTTAGTAATGCATCTTTGCTAGGCCCTGTCCCTCTGTGCCTTGGTGGCTTCCTACTGCCCCATCAGGAGGCAGAGAACCTCGAGCAGGGGTCCCAGGTCTGGCGAGCTGATGACCTCCTCACTCAGGATCATGACACCTACACCGGAACCTCCAGCACAGCTGTCTTCCTCAGCTGTGGGCCTGCTCTTGAACTTCTTATTAGAAATACATAAAGACCCCCAAAACAGAGCCCCTGGCTTCATTTTGAACCACTGGTCTCTCCTCTTCGGTGTATCAGCTGGAGAAACTGGGGGGAGATGTGTCCTGGATGTCCCTTTCATCAGAGTCCTGCCTCTTAGACCTCCTGCGAGGTTTTTACATTCATAGTCACCTTTCTTCTCCCAACACCATGGTCTGGGATTGGACATTTATCCCCTGAGGTCAGCTCAGAGGCCTCTTCACTCATCACCCTGCTTTTAGTTTCTATCCTTCCTAAATTTCCCACACAGCTTTAGCCAAGGTGCCTTGGCTAAAGTATACGTCTGGGTTTCTATCTCCTTTACTTAAACCTCACACCGGTGGCTCCTAAGAACCCCTAGTATGGTTCCCATGGTTGGCTCTGTGTCTTCCCATTTACCTCCCACTCTACACTAGTGGCAACATTTCTGGTCATGGAAGCTTATTGGGTTCATATTGTTTTCTCTTTTCCCTTCTTTTCTTTCCTTCTTTCCTCCTTTCCTTCCTTCCTTCCTTTTTGAAACAGGATCTCACTGTATAACTCTGGCTGTCCTGGAACTTACTATGTAGGCCAGGCTGGCTTCAAACTCACAGAGATCCGCCCATCTCCCCAGTGCGGGGATTAAAGGTGTACGCCACTATGCACAGCCTCATACTGGTTTTTAGGCCTGGGGCATTCTTACTTGTTTAATTCCTGTTCATCCCCAAGTTCAAGTCGCGTCTCTAGCAAGCCTTCCTCGCTGCTCCTCAGTCCTTACTACAAAGAAGTTGGTTAGGAGCTCCCCAAGTTTCCATGACTCCCCAAACACTTGCATGCCTTTGAACTCACTGCAGGGAGATGCCTGTCCTACAAGATAGCGAGGCTTAGAGGGAAACAGGCTTCTGAACCTTCAGTGCCAGGAGAGAGCCTGTACAGGCCCAGATACACTGTTGCCTGGGAGAAGGCACCTGCAATGTAGTTACATTAAATTGTTCTACTGTTCTTTCCCATCAGTTACCAGTGGTTCTCAACTAGGGGGTGAGACCCCTTGGGGGTTGCATATCAAATATCCTGCACGTAAGACATTTACATTATGACTCATAACAGTAGCAAAATTACAGTTATGAAATAGCAACGAAAGTCATTTTATAGTTGTAGATTGCTGCAAAGAACTGCATTAACAGGGCACAGTGTTAGGAAGGTTGAGCGCCATTGAGATAGGCTGCAAACCTCTTTCTTCTCATCTCCCTGTGTGTTGTGTCCTGAAAGCCAGCCAGTAAAAGAACTAAACCTAAGTGTGACTATGTGTAATAGTTAGTACCTGGCTTTGAAAAGATTTTATCTCAGTATTTTTATTTTTTATTTTATGTGTATGTGCATACCTAAGTGTATCCATCACATGTGTGTAGGAGCCCACAGAGGACAGAAGAGGCACTGGGTCCCTTGGCACTGGAGTTACAGAGAGTTGTGAGCTTCCCTGTGGGTGCTGGGAACAAACCTTGGGTCCTCTGCAAGAGAAGTAAGTCCTCTTAACCACTAAGCCATCTCTCCATCCAAAATTTTATTATTTTTAATTTATGAATTCATGTGCACATATGAGCATAGGTGCCTGTGGAGGCCATATGATCCTCTGTAGCTGGAGTGACAGGTGGCTGTAAGTCACTTGACATAAGTTTCAGTAACTGAACTTGAGTCTGCTGCAAAAGCAGCAACGCTCTTAACCGCTGAGCCATTTCTGCAGCTCAGTACCTGACTCCTTTTTTAAAGACGGGGTCTCATCATAGAGCTTTGGCTGTGCTGGAACTCGCTATATAGACCAGGCTGACCTTGAATGCACGGGGCTCTGCCTGCCTTTGCCTCCTAAGTGCTAGGATTAAGAGCATGTGTTACCATGACTGGCTATGTAGCACATAAAAACAAATATTTTTTTCTAAGTTGGATTCAATCAAATCTTGATGAATTAACTTTCTGTAAACATTGAGGGGATGTTTTATAAAATAGACTTCTGACTACTGTAGATGAAATGGAAGATTCTGGTTTGTGGTGTTGTTAAGCAAAGCTCATCATATTAGCTAAAGTGTGTGTGTTTATGTGTGTATGGGTACACATGTCTGTGTGGGTGCACACACATGTATATGTGTGTGGAAATCAGAGGACAACTTCAGACATTATTCCTCAGGAATTGTTTACATTTCTTTTAGAGGCAGGGTCTCTCTGGCCTGGAGCTCAACAAGTAGGCGGAACCTGTCCTCTCCAGTGCTGTGATTATGAGGGCATGCTGCCAGGTCCAGCTTTCTTCTGTCTCAGTCTCTGACTCTCTCTCTCTCTCTCTCTCTCTCTCTCTCTCTCTCTGTCTGTCTCTGTCTCTCTCTTCCTCTCCCTTTCTTTAAATGTGCAGGTTCTGGAGATGGTATTCAGGGCAAACACTTGACTGAAGAAACTATTTCCCTGGCCCCTAGATCTTCTTCACTCCTCAGGACGTGTGAACCTTGAGTCAAATGCCGGCCCTAGTGCCTTTTAGGAAGCAGGGTGAGGTCACTGTGAGTAAGAGTAGATCAGCCTTTGGCCTCAGCTGCTATTTGACTGGTGGGATCTGAGACCTCTTCACAGTGACAAGCATGCAGGAATGGTCTAGATTTTGAGAATCTTTCGTTCCTACCTCCTTGGGTTTTCTCTCTTTTGTTTTATATAGGAATTAGAGTTTTGTTTTGAACATACTTTTAAACCTGTGCCTGGCTGGTTTTTTGTTTTTTTGTTTTTTTTTTTTTTTAAAGACAAGGTATCTCTGTAGCTTTGGAGCCTGTCCTGGAACTTGCTCTTGTAGACCAGGCTGGCCTCGAACTCACAGAGATCCACCTGTCTCTGCCTCCCGAGTGCTGTGGTTAAAGGTATGCGTCACCACTGCCCGGCAACCTGCATCCTCTTTGCGAGTTGTTGACACTGTATCTGTACCACCTGTGATTTAGAGAACCACTTCACAGGAACACGCGTGGGCCGTCTGTCTATAGTTTCTGCCCCATGTTCTAAGTGAGCTTCCCACGTGGCTTGAGGGTATTCCTTGATGACTTAGGATATTGTCCCAGGGGTACACTCATGAGACCCCTTATCAGAGGTCCTGTGGCTCGTCTATCCCACCCTTAGAATCCATGTCTAGCATCTTCACCTAAGCTTCGGTCATTCATTCTTTACCCCCCCCCCCTACCCCACACAGGCTCTCACTGTGTAGCTCTGACTGTCCTGGAACTCACTATGTAGACCAGGCTGACGTCAAAGTCATAGAGATCTATCTGCTTCTGCCTCCTAAGGACTGGGTTTAAAGGCGCGTGCCACTACGCAAGAAAAAAGCTCCTGGCATTCTAGAAGGAGATGCTTGCTTCTTCAGAGGTGTTTGACCTTGAGTGACTATGACTTGACTGGTCTCCTATTGCAGTTTCTATAGCCCTAGGGGCATGGACAACACCAGTCACACTCTGAGAACACGGAGGCTCTTGGTTCCCCCGGGTCTCTGAAGACTGGGACTTTCTTGAATTTCAAACTCCCCCCCCCCCAGAAAACAAGGTAATAACTTTTGGGGGCAAATTCTGGGCTTGAATTCCACTAAATACAGAGTTCAGTTGGCCTTAATGGTGCCTGGCTTCCAATACAAACGGTACCCTAGTGGCAAAGGGAGCTGAAAGTCTGGCCGCAAAGCTGCCTGGCTTACAGGAGTGATGGGCAGTGTGTATGCACAGGTTGTTCTGACTCAGGCTAGCTGGATGAAGTCCCCCCTACACCTGCCCCCTGCCCATCCCCAGTGTGCGCTCCTCATCTTGGCTGTAAGGTACGGTAATGAGAATGTTTGTCTATTGGGACCCACAGGGGACCGAGCTAGCTCATCTTGATCATGGGCAGAGGTGAAATGCCAGTACTCTGAAGTCTTCTGGTTGGCGTCTCAGTTCTTTTTCCATTTGTCACAGCAGTTAGGAACATGGGGTTGAAGTGAGGTGACCAGGTGGCTGCTGATGTCCACTCGGGGTTCCTGGGTCAGTGGTTATAGTTTTGCTCGATAGATTACAATAGATGGCTGTTTGTTGATTGCTTGCCTGTGTCAGGCATGGTATAAAAGGCTTGTCACACATTTTCTAACTAGTCATCCCGGTGACTTTCTGAGGTCAGTTCTATTCTGATCTTTGGAGAGATCATATTTCCAAAGGCAGCTGCAACAATTAGCATCACCCTACATGGTCCTTCTGAATGTGACCTTGCTAAGAGTTGGGGCCCACTGGATCTTGCTGCTCTTGTGATTGCTTTGAACAATAGAATAAGAAATTCCAGATGCTCAGGAACTCTAAAGCTAAGAGGGCTTTAGATGTCAGGGGGCTGATAGATGTGTGCTCACTCTTTAAGGGAAGCAGGTTCTACATGAGAAGTCTGACTGAACTAATAACACCACAATACCACAAAGATAGCCATGTGGAGAGGTTTTGAAGCAGGACACAGTCACAATTGAGGTATCTACCGTGTGAGTTGAAGTCACTTGTGCTGTCCCAACCCCAGCAGACATCATGAGGGTTAGGGAAGAGCTGTCTCTGCTGACCTCTGCCTAAATCACAGGACGGCAGAGCATATGATTCTGGTGTTTTAAGCCACTGAGACAGCAGGTAGATATGACCACTAAATTAGACCCTTACTAGACAAATGAGAAAATAGAAGTTTAGAGGCTCATGTGACCGGTGAAGAGAGGAGCCTGGGGTTCAAGACCACGATCTAAGAAACACTCCCCAATTTCACAGGACTGCTACACCTCAGAGAAGACTGGAGGTGGATGTAGACTTCATGGTGGATAGGGTTCTTCTAGACCCTGTTCAGCTGTGCCCTTCACTATACCCACTGAAAAGTAAATATACTGACTCCCACAGTGGGCCTGGTGTCCCCACCTGACATTCCTTCACACGCTGAGCCTTGTGATTCTTCAGATGACATCAATTCCTCTACAGAAGCCACTGATTCCCTGGAGATAGAGGCCGTGTCTAATTAGTCTTATGTCCCCAAAGCTCTTGCTATACCTCTTGGAACACGGTGAGTTCTTGTGAGTGATCTAGATATAAAAGCGTGCGCACACACACACACACACACACACACACTAATAAAGTTTTGGAGTTAGAATGGAGAAAGAGATGTCATGATGTCCTAATAGTGCTTCAGTCCCACCCAGACCAGAGGTGGAGCTTAATTCAGCCATCTTAGGAACTGTGTCGGGTTGGGTCCAGGATGCCTGTGGATACCTAAGTCTATAGATGCAAACCTCTTGTAGAAAATGACATCACATGTGCATATAACCTACACAGTCCTCCTGCATATTTCCTTAAATCTCAGCGAAGCATTGCTAGATGACTTATATGTGATACAATGTGCAGCTATACGGATGGCCAGGCTGTTGCTTCGGGAACATTGATAAGAAATAGAGGGTGCACAGATGCAAAACAAGGTGCAATGTTTTTCCTGAATGTTTTCAGTCCAAAGTTGATTGAATCCACAGATGGAGAAACCATGGATACAGAGGGCTGACTGTAATTATTTTAATTACTAATAATTAGTAGTTACAAGGCACCTGCTTGCAAACCACAGCGAGTCTGAGCTTCCTAGGTGTTTGAGATCGAGGCAAGGATTCTGGAGCTACCCCTCAGGAAGAGGGGGAATGATGGAGCAAAGGAGACAGGGCAGCTAAGCCGGGGAGTGACCTCTCTGAAAACTGGTTACTGCCTGAGCCTATGGGGAGATCTGCACAGCTGTTTCCACTTTGAAGCTAGTAAGCTGGGCTTTCAAAACCATCAGTCTGGCACTGTCTGGGGGCAGGGGCATGGCCTGACTTCTTGGATCAGGCATCTTCTGTTTGGCTGAGAGCAATTCTCTGAAGAAGCAGGGCAGCTGAGCTGGGGCAGCTGCAAGCGTCAGCGGCCAACATTCCCAGCAGCGGCAGGTAAGGGATATTTCTACAGTCCCTGCTGTGCTCACGCCACGTGTTAGCTGTGAGGCAAGATCTGATGAAGCTCAGAGGTCAGAAGACACTTCGGGCGCCAAAACCACATCCCGTGAGAAGGAAGCCCTTTTGCAAACTATGAACCGTCAGACTTCAAACTGACAGTTGAAGAGTTAAACATCAAAACCGCCAAGGCCTTTTTTTAGGCACACTCACCAGAGCCCGTAAAGATTCCATCTCAGCCTGGAGTCTCTGCACTTGGCACGAAGTGTCATGTAGCTCTATGCTGAGGGCAGCGGCCAGCTTTTCCTCTTGGGTCTGGGTTGCGTGGACCACTTCTGTCTGTTGCTGTGGAAAGTCAGGACTCAGGGTGAGTGGGGATGAACTGGAAACCTGAAGCCACCTTTACTCCTCAGCCCCTTCTAAACTGACTCTCTGCCAGACTAAAAAAAATTCACCTTTTTATAAACCTGCTAACCAATTCATATACAAAAGCTTGTTTTCAACCTTTGATGCTTACAACTAGAATACTATTCAAAAGATTTACTAAAGACTTGGCAAAGCCCTAGCTCAGTGGTAAAGTACTCACTTAGGGTGCATATGACCCTGGGTTCAGCTCTGAACTCTCTCTTTCTTTCTCTCTCTCTCTCTCTCTCTCTCTCCCCGCCTCTTCCCCTCTCTCTCTCCTGACAGCAGTAGGAGACCTCCATTCCTCCCATGTTCTAATGACAGTTTCCCTGTTTCCAGTTTCTTACACCACCTTTCAGAAATATTTCAGGCACTGATTAATGGCACGGAGAGCATCTGAGATCTATAAAAGTGTTTTGCTGTTATGTGAGCATTGCAGAAATAGGCTTGCATAAGCGAAGGTGGCTATGATACCACTAGGTGATACAATCTCACAGGCCCAAGGTTGCATATTTAATCCATCACCGACCGCAACATCCATATGTAGTACACAGCTGTATTTATAAATAAATATTAATCACTACCTTCTCTTGTTTGCTACAGTATTTGCTATATGTTAGAAATCAATCTCTGTCAGCATATCATAAGGGGATTATAGCCTTCGAGCAGCTACATGGAACTGCCTTGTTTGGAGGTTCTGTGATTTCTATAGGAGTTCCCTGTTGGTGGACGCTTCGATTGTGTCTGGATTTTTCCTGTTTCAAAACCTAAACTTAGATGCCTCATTTTCCACCCAAGAGGGCATCTCTGAGGGATGCATCCTTTAGATAAACTGTGCATGTACCTTTTTATGTACCCTCAAACTCTCAAGCCTCCTGCCTCAGCCTCCAAGTGGTAAGATTACATGCATGCATCAACATGCCTGCCTGAAACTTTGAAGGATACTCACAAATTATCCTTTGGAGATTTGTAACTCTCTCAACACCCGGAGACAGTTCCAGGTCCCCACACTGTCCTCACACAAGGGGTTAAGGTTATCCATTTTATTTTTATGTGTGTTTTGCCTACATATGTGTATGAGTACCGTGTGCATGCTTGATGCCCATGGAGATCAGAAGACAGCATTGAGTCTCCTAAAAATGGAGTTACCGATGGCAGTGAACCATCACGAGGTTGCTGGGACAGGTCCCTGGGACTTCTGCAAGAGGAACAAGTGCCCTTAACTGCTGAGCCAGCTCTGCTGCTGCAGGTTTTCTGTCTGGCTCTCTGTATCTGATAGTCCTTCTAGCCTTTAAAATTTTTAAAAATTGCTTTACGTACTTGTATTGTGGGGCATGTTTGTGTGTGTGCACCTGCCGTGGTTCATGTGGGTGTGACGTGTCATGTTAATGCGTGTGCGCACCTGCCATGGTTCATGTGTGTGCATACCTGCCACAGTTCATGTGAGTGTGGGCACGTGTCATGGTTCATGTGGTGGTCAGAGGACACTCTACAGGAGCCAGTTTTTCTCCCACACATGGGTTCCAGGGATTGAACTCAGGTCAGCAGGCTTGGTGGAAAGTGCCTTTACCTGCTGGGCTATCACTCTGGCCCAGCCCCCTTTCATTGTACTAACCAGTGCAGCTGTGATTGTGAATACAAGGGGGGAGGTCTATGTTCTGAGTCATTTTTCCAGAACGAGACAGTTGGGTTCTGATTCCTCCCAGTGCATTCAGGGGAGCAGGTCCTCTGCTGGTGGATGATAAAATGAAGTCTTCTTCTTCTTCTTCTTCTTCTTCTTCTTCTTCTTCTTCTTCTTCTTCTTCTTCTTCTTCTTCTTCTTCTGTGCCCTCTGATGTATTGTTTCTGAGCCAATGCTGTAGGCAGAGAGGTCGAGGAAGCCTCTGTCTTCTCTGCTAGGTTCCTAGCTTCCTTAAAGTACCACTTACAGCTGCCACATAGGAATACTGACGGAAGCATGCACAGAACCCTCCGAGCTAACCATCTGCCCAAGGAGCCCCTATCAAGGTGCTCCTATCAGCAGCCGGAGCACTAATCTTTGGGAGACAGTTCTTGCCCTACACCGTGTGAGCTCTGGGGATTGAACTTGGAGGGGTCAAGTCTGGCGAAAGTACCACCTGCTGAGTTCTTATATAAGAACCCCATAGTTCTTATATATAACTGGGGCTGTAGCTCAAAGGGAAGGCACTTAGCCTAGAATGTGCGAAGTCTTGGATTTGACCCTTACTATCACAAAAAAAGCAACAACTATCAACAAATGAGCCTGTGAAATCCACTATGCATTGAATACAACAGCTGCTATTACCATGAGTAATTAACATGCATTAGGCTCTTATTCTATGCCATGGAGAACTCTAAGTTCATTATCTCATCAATTCTCTACAACCTTGTGAAATCACATGCCATTATTATCCCCAGCTGACACAGGAAATGGGGCACAGAGCCTGAGCGCTTTCTCATGATCCTCTGGTCCCTGAGAGTCAGAGACAACTGTGCACCCATGGCATGCTCTCAGCCCTGTCAATGCAACTGTCTCCGCCAGCCCATTGACTTAAGACCTTTGATACTGGAGATGGCCTCCCCTAGATTTTCTTGGATCACCTCATCTTAAAACATTAATGAACTTCAAGATCACTTGGGAGTCTGAAAATGGAGGCTGTGGTGCAGGAGGCCCTGAATGGAGCTTGGGAGTCTGCATTGTTCCCTTTCAGAAATACCTGGTCCATGGGATCAGAGCGCTAGGTGGCTAAAGGTACTGGTAAGACATCCTCACTCACCTTACACAGAAGATAACTGAATCAGTAAAATGGGAACAAAGCAAGATTAGTTAGTTCTATTACTCATTGCCTGCCTGGCAGCTGAGTTTCATAGCCTGGCTTTCTGCTGAAAGGTAAAATTACCAAGTATTCCAGAGGTTAGAAAGATCTGCCAGCACCAGCCAGAGGCTTTCTTCTGGGTGAAAGTTGGAAGAAGAAGAAGAAAAAAGAATTCCACTTCATCACTATGTATTCCAGCATCATTTACTGCTGTAACCCTGATCTTCAAATCGTTAGCACATAAGATTCCCAGAGCTAATCGCTTCAACTCCTAAAAATATCACACATTCTTCTCTGACGGCTCCTTAGGATTCCGCTTTCTGGCAACTGTAATCATTCTCTGTTTCCATTTCACCCCACGCCTGAAGATTCTCTTTACACACTCAACAGTAGCCTTGTGATCCCAGACCCAGAGGAGGTAGGATTCAGTGTATTTGTTTAGGGTATATGAACCTCTTGGTTCCTTTTCTGGGTCAGCTGAGCATGCTGACATTTTGAATTATGATGGAGATTTTCACACTCAAAAATTATAATCGTGGGTCTTGAGAGATGGCTCAGTGATTAAGAGCCCTTGTTGCTCTTGCAGAGGACCCAGATTTGGTTTCAAGTACCCTCACAGGGGCTAACGATGCCCTCTTCTGACCTCTGAGGGCAAAGCAGTACACATACATGCATGCAGTTAAAGCATCCATACATATAAAAGTAAAATATAAACATCTTAAAAAATATATCTGGGAATGGTGGCATATACCTCCAGTCCCAGCACTTGTGAGGCAAAAAACAGTGAGTTTGAGGCCAGCCTGCTCTACACAGTGAGCCAGTCAGGGCTACACACACACACACCATCATGGCTGGGCAGATAGCTCGGTCAACAAACTGGTTGTTACATAAGCATGATTTTCAGATCCTCAATATCCATGTAAAATATTGGGTGCTATAACCCCAGAGCTGGGTGGGAAATGCAGATAAGAGGACCCCTGGAGCTTACTGATCACAGAGTCCAGACAACCAGTGAGAGATCCTATCTCGAAGATATGATGGAGAGCAACTGAGGAAGATACCATCATTGACCTCTGGCATCCCCACATGCGCCTACACTTGCACCCACACCCACACCTTGTAATCACAATCAAGTACTTAGGAGTTTAACTCTTGGGGAATAAACAGAAGAATGGGAAAAAATGTCTCTAAACCGGACCATTTTTCTGATCACTGACCATTGGCGGTCTCCCAAGCAGCATTGGCTAGGACTCAAAGCTGAAGGGGTGAGGACAGAGTGGGCTTTTGGCAGGAGGGTGAGAGTCGCAAGTGGGCACTGATGTTCTCTGATCTCAGAAACAGCAGGTGTTCTGATAGCTCATGCATCCAGGCTGAGCTAGCTCTCAGGGGCTCAGTGTGTGTCTGACTTTCTCCAAGCAGTTGTTGTCGGCCAGAGAGCACCATGGGAGCTCTCTGCTTTGAACTAGAAGGGAACAACAGCCTAGTGAAAGCACAGGTGTGCTTTTCAGTTTTCACAAAAACAAGCCTTGGTTGTGTTATCATGGAGAAAGGGAAGCAATGGCTCCTGGGTCACAAGAGCTCCTGATCTAGAAAAGGAAGGCAGAGCACCTTGCTTTAGAACAGTGGTTCTTAATCTGTGAGTCATGACCTTCTGGGCGAGGGGATGAACAACCCTTTCATTGGGTGTTTTCTAAGACCATCAGAAAACACAGATATTTACATTATGCCCAGGGTATTTAACCCCAATATAGACTCCCCATCTTACAGCCTATAAGATGTTCCTTGCTCATTCTTTTTGTTTTATTTTGTTTTTTAAGACAAGGTTTCTTTGTGTGATAGCCCAGACTGTCCAGGAACACACTCTGTAGATCAGGCTGACCTCAGACCCACAGAGTCCCATGCTGTGGAATAATTCTTCTGTACACTGTGTGAATATATGTTGCTGTGATTGGTTTAATGAACAAGCTGACTGGCCAATAGCTGAACAGGATAAAGTTAGGTGGGAAAGCCAAACTGAGAATGATGGGATGAGGAAGAGAGGAGTCAGGCATCACCAGTCAGATGCAGAAGGAACAGGAGATGAATGTGCCATGCTAATAAAGGCACCACAACATGTCAGAGAGT